TGTAAAGTCGTGCACCAATCAGGAGAATTCGGAAATGGAAGGGTTTGAACGGCCACTTCCCTACAACTTTAACAAGATCCAAAGAATGTCTAGACTCTAGAGGGGTGCAGTGAAATAATTTTATAGGGAATGAAATAGAGAGTAATGTTTTTTTATGTAAATATTGGCTTCTGCACAGATAGGAATGATAGTTTGCAGTGATATGAGACGGAGATAATCCTGATTCTAATAGCTCTGCGATGGAACCGAGAAAGGTTCTTCTTGGCGTTACATTTCTCAGATTCAAGCAAAAAACAAACGACAAAAAACAAACGACAACAAAAAAAACAATGGTGAACATCGTTAAATATTTTTAGCGTTGGTGGCGACCTAAGAAAGCAAAGTGGCTCAGAAGCCGTACAGGAATGAACGGTTGTCTATGAATGGGTATCTGTAATGTTTGCTAACGCTAACTCTGGTTAGCTTTTCTGTCTCATGATTTCTAATAAAGCAGAATGATTGGTTGTAGAAATGTGGCTGAAAGTCAAGTAATCCATTGTTGAGGATTAATAAAAAGAAGCCTAAAAAGTTAATTTTGCACGAAATAGAACCTTTAAAAACCATTGGCACAATAATTGACATTTGATCATGAATATTTGAAGGGTGGCCTTTCCCACAAATTTATGTTTTTCTTGTAATCTTAACAAGTAAATACATTCTTAATACCATAAATAATAAAATCCCTGCAAGAGAGAAAAGTCCATCCTTAGATTTTTAGATGGATTTTGGTTCATATTTTGTTGGTCTGTGCATATCCTGCTTTTATTAATTAACAAAAACCCTTTCAGCTTTGCAAACAAAACATTTTCAGTGAAAATTTAAAATTAAGCTCGGAAATAAAGCAGTTATTGAACACATATGTGTTTGCAAAATAGAGGAACTGCATCAGTTTGTGTGACCAGTTTCCTTTGTTACTTTGTTCTGCAAGAAGTCTCAGATTTTTCATTTTTCACCAGAGCCTGTATGTGAGTGTATGTGTTCACCATCCTCTCAGTTATAATTAATACCCATAGGATTCTCATTATTCCACGTTTAGAGGGAGCGTGGAGGCTGTGATTCACGCTAACAAGTCAGCTTGGAGAAAGCCAACATGTCAGCAGCTGAAATGCCTAAAGGCTGGAGAAACCAGCCTCTGACTTGAAGGTCGCTGATTAAAATCCCACAGCTCATGGTAAAACCCACTGGGAACCCGAGTAAGAATGAGAAGCTGTCTCTTATCCAGTGGAGTCAGATGAGGAACAAAAGGCCTTTGTTTGTTCATCTTCAGATGTCAGATTTGAGCTCCCAGACTGGGCCGCTTTTGAACTTTGAGAATTTGATTTATTTAACGAACAGAAAACGTTTTCTGGTTTTCTTATATTGCAGGAAAACCATTAAAAATCGAAATTATCTGACCAATAACCTGCTTAGATTGACGTTTAACCCAAAGCTAGAAAACAAACTTTAATCGTTCTTCATCTTTTTTAGCAGCCTGGATATGAAGCAATCTTTCTGGGTCAGAACTTTTCAGACCATCATAATTATCAGCCCTGCACACCTAAGATCAAATAAAATGCATTCATGTTTTATATTTATTGTTGCCAAAGCAAAAAACCAATACTATAGGAGGAACAGCATCATTACGGCCTCATTTTACATTGATAACAATCAGCTATTCTTTTATATTCATGTTTTTGATTGTGCAGAACGTCTTTTATGACCTGTCTAGGGGCCAGATCATAACTTGAAGGATCCATCGTCTTCAGATCCCAAACAGCCAGAACACAAAGTTGAATATTTTATAATGTTATTTATTTTTAAAAAGAGCTATTTTTTTTATTGAAATGTTACATTAAAGCCATAGGGAAATCATGTTTAAATGTCAAATCATTCTGGCCTCAACATGTATATAAATGTAATCTTGGAAAAATTTAGAAACATTTTATTTAAAACAAAAAACATCCTGTCTTAACCCTTTAAAGCCCGATCCAAGAATAAAAAAATACAGAAAATTTCTTTTTTTTTTGGCCTTTTAACAAAATATGTAAAAAGAAAAAACAGAAATACATTTTGGATATTAATAATATATTACTATGTGATAAGTCAAGATTATTTTTTGTGTAGTCTTCTGCCCTCTATTATCAGGTATATCTGATTGTGTACAATAGGATTTTGAGCAAAGTTTTTACCATTAAATTATGCAAAAGGTGTCAGATGCAAAACATTTCAGAAACCCTATGTATCAAATATGATACATTTGGCATTACAGGGTTAAAATCTGTTGGGGATTTTTTCGTTATCTTATGCAGGCCAGTTTTTTATACGTCAGCCTGAAAACCTAAATTCGGCCAATCATATATCAACGGTCATCTGTCAGTCTAATTTTTTCGGTCATAGCATCTTGATTCATATGTAGCAGCTAATATACGCAATCTTTGAAATAAAAAACTAAGAAAAACATGAGAAAACTAAGGAAACAAAATGGCAGTTCACTCCTACAAGCTCCAGAACTTAACATGGTGTTAAACAGAGTGGCCGGTTAAGATGAGCTGAGGATGAATGAATGCGGTCAGCAGCTCTTATATCCGTCACCTCTGGGAGGTCACCAATTGGACATCTTCGTCGTCT